TGCCATTGGGATCTACCCTAAAATCGCACTTTTCAGTTTCCTACAATTGGTAATACCAACATGGTGGACAGAGAAACTTGTGCGGTGAAGTCGACATTAGCGCCACTTGCAATATGGCCATACGACGATGTACGGTTATAGATTTTCAAAAAATACAAACCTTTGGAACAGTAATTATTTTATGTAAAATAACAACATTACGGCTAAGTGAAATGAAAAATTGGCTTCACCAGGATTCGATAGAATGCGTACTAGTCCAGTGTGCTACCTCATTGCCAACACGCCTTGTAACTTATCGGTACTGATTTATATTTCTTAAAAATACATTATTACCATATAATTTGTATAGTTGGCAACTAAAGATGTCTAAATAAGATAACTGATGTAATCTTTTATAAACAATTCAGAATTTCTAAAGAACGCTTGTAGAGAGTGATTTTGATGTGTGATTCGCTGATCTAATGCGACTGTTACGCTGCAGTGACCAGAGGCTGCCCAGCTGACCATTATAGCGCCGACAGATTTCTCGACGTATCACCAGAATTCTGGAGTCGTTAACAACCTCGGTCCAGATCAGAACAGCAGTCAACCTATACCCGGGGACGACAGGCATCACGAGGCAATGCATCAGTACTTTCAAGCTCTAAGCATGCATACATTTTGTATTTTTCTAAATTTTTAATTTAAATTTATTTAATTCAGTACAATGGCTCAGGCCATGTCAGTCTCCAACGTACCCTTCCTCCAAACAGAGACCTAGCCAGGTGCTTCGACTCAAAGTTACCTTATACGGGGAACTGGCAATTTGGAAGGCACTTATGCCGACCAATGGCTGACTGAGGTCACCCGAGGGAGACTGATGGTCAACAGGACAGACGAGGCTGTCCTTCAAAAGATGACAAGTCGACGCAACAAGTGACTTAACTTCTCGGCTACCAAACAGATTTTCAGTACTTTTTCTCAGTTGTAAAGCAAATGCCAGGATATAATTCGAAAGGGTTAAGGCCCGCCTTCCCCAACTATGGAAGTCTTCAGCTACAGCGAATAATATTTTCTGCATCCTTTCCAATTCATTATTCAATAGCATCCTCTCATTCGACGCTGTATTGTCTGAGAAACTAAAAGAGTCGTTATATAAACCATAAATAAATAAAATGCTTCGAAACTTTCTAGACAAAATCATTTGCCTTCGGAAAGTAGTCTTTCGCCGTTAAAATTCTGCGAATTTTTTAAAATATTCTCTAAACTTCCTGCTGGTAGGCAAATCTAAGAAAACGAAAATGAATCTTACATTTCACGGATCATAGTTAGGAGGCGGACCGCCGTTTACTGGGTTATTCATTTTATAGTTTATTGTTGAACAGGTTCTTAAATTTATTTTTATCTGATCGGTTCTGCTGTGTTCCAGCGTATGGAGTATCATTGGACCACAAAAGTTGTCCTTAACATCATCATCATCCTCATAATAACGAGGACTACAAATTATAAAGTTTCTCATGTCATTTACTCCATTATTATGTTATTTACTCTTTTTTTAATAATTAAAAATGTTCTCCCCAGCAGCATTTCCCCCAAAACTATATTCTCTTAGAATGAGGTACCAAGTTTCGCTACAAAACTCCTTTTTGCATAGACCAGGCCAAACTGAAGGAGCGTATAGAGGGACTCAGAGAGAACAACTTTCGAATGGAATCCATGTCCTCCGACGTTATCTTGAGTCAGTCGAGGCCATTGAAGGTAAGGAAGTCTGATAACATACAATGTAATCCTTGTACATTAATAAAAAAACAAAATTAAGCTAGTAGGAGAATAGCAAAGTAGGATTATTTCATATGTATGTTATCAGACTTCCCAACTTCCAGTGGTCTCGACTGACTCAGGATAACGTCGGAGGACATGGATTCCTATTCGAAAGTTATTCTCTCTGAGTCCCTCTATACGATCCTTCAGTTTGGCCCTAACCTTCTAAATCACTCTGTATATTTAGCCGTTCAAAAATATTAAACGATGGGCAGTCAACACATTATGACGCCTGTTAGAGCTCTTTCCATTGGTGCATGCCACCGCTAGTGTCCGCCCCGATAAACGATAATTCAAGGTCATATTACTCCCCGGGCTTTATTCTGAATTGCGGATTTTCGTGACTTGGCCATTTAAACACCATGTTCTGACGTTTGTTTTAGTTTTAATTTTAACAAAAATTCGTCCGTGAGTTTCGCTGTCCATATACGCGAACACCTCGCAAGAGTTTATGCTCGCATCTCATTAATTCGCTAAATATTTATGTCTACAAAATTGTTTCAAACAAAAGATCTAGAGAAAAAGTAACACATATTATAGACCTAATACACTTTTTGCAAATTTTATGGTCTTAAAAAAATTATACAGAATTTATTTCTGTTTGGTGCCATCTGATAATTCTAGAATCATTGGGGTTACTTTGACCAAAGTTTATACTGGAGGTCTTTGTTCGTCGGCCCCGCTGTTTCACGTTATTTACAAGAGAGTATCAAATATCTGAATTCAGTAGCTGAAAAATTAAAGGCAAAAACAGAGCGAAAGCATCGGACATGACACGCTAAGCGCAAACTCCCTAACTTGCTAATTTTTCGAAATTAATTTAAATACGTGTCGCATTACTTCCAAACGTCCATCAATGTAAATTACTTCAAGATCCTAAAGTATGCCGTAATTCTCACCACAATTATGATAACTTCGCCCATAAACGTTGACATAGCTCATAGGGCGTTTAATAGCACCAAATTTGGAGTAGTTTTCTCTGCTGTAAGCCAGCTGAATCCCTAATAACTGCAGTACAAACGTTTCACATCCTACACTCTATTTATCTACTCTTTTTACTATTCATCCTCTGCACATCTCTATACATACTGAGATAATATTGTGTTAAATTATTAGACCAGGTTAGGTTGAGTTTACTCAGGGATTTGTTGGGTTGGGTTGGGTCGTGTTACGTTAAGTTTACGATGGAATGGGTTAGGTTGGATAAGGTTACGTGAGGTTGCGCTCGGTTACGTCACGTTAGGTTAGGTTTGATTGAGTTAAGTTAGGTACCGTTACGTTTGTTTGTGTTAAAGTATTTCGTAAGGTTAGAGCAGGTTATGTTTGGTTCATCATCGTTGGTACTGTTGAAATTCTTTGTTTCGTTTTCGTTTACCTGTATTCTTACGGGGCAAGAATTTATATGTAGACACATTTAAGGCGTCTCAGTCAGTATAGTGAGCTGCTATGAGTTAAGCGATTGGGGTTCGATCCCCGACAGAGGATTTTCTTTTAGCCCCTGCGTCCAGACCGGCACTGAGGCCAACGCTGCCTCCTCCCCAATTGGTACAGGGCTCCTGGTAACTCAAGTGGCAGACTAGTGTGAACACAGCAATGAGCCTCCTATTTCTAGAGAAAGCGGTAAGTTTCCTGATTAGCTGAGCTTCTGTTAGCTTCTGAAGGATTCTGTTCCATAGAGTAAAGTTATCAATATTAAAATTTAACAAAAAGACGTATAGCGTTTCTGGAATGAACCTGCCAAGAAATGATGTACAGTACCTGTCATAAATGTGTCCACTTCATGCAAATTACGCAGGGAAAGCATACGTACAGTCATAACGGGAATTGAACATAGGCAGTTTAGTAACTAGTCTGAAACAACATGAGGCACCATGGCTCCAGCAAAATTAGTTCTGAGCACTACTCAAAGAAAACATAAGTGCCATTAGACGTACAGCTCTACATATTCTCTACTTCGCTACTAGATGGAGATGATAGGCTAGACTCACGTCCCGACCGCTTTATCCTCCGGAAAACTGTTGCCGGGTATCCGTTGGACATGGGCCCCTAAGCGGTGGAGAAGATAAAATTCCCTGTATGTACTGGAAATCGAACCCCGATCGTCCAGCCCAAAGACTAGTTACGTCATTGGCTGGCTTCAAACGTCCATTCATTAAAATTACGTATTGTGTGTCAAGTGCCCTTGAAATGATTGACGCTTCAAGAAAAGACATCATCAAAGCTCGATCATAAACCGGCCAGTTTCTTGTTATCATTTCCTTTCTCTTTTTCCTGTAATTCCTGACGATCACGGACGAAACCTGTCGAGACAGACGTCACAGGATCAGGTTAACAGGCGCACTGGCTGCGTGTTCCTTTATAAAATAAGAATGATCATTAACGTTGACACCAACTACGAAAGAAATAAGATTGCTAAACCTGTACTCATCCTTTCCTGGGTTGTAATGTGCTCTTCTGGGTAATGACACGGTAAGATATTATGGGTGATTAGCCTGTCAAGAAAATCTAAAATCACGATTTTCAGCTAACCAAGGACTTCCCCGTCATTTAAGTAACTCGAAGGTCCATTACTGTGCACACAATACCCCCAACGCCATGCCGCCACAAGGTCTCAGGTGTGCCGCGAGCTTTTATAATAAATTTTACTTCAGCACGTTATGGTTAGGAAAAGCCAACGTCCTATCTTTCGTAAGAAAAATTCATGACGCAGACAAACAAACCGGTTCAAAATCGACGGCTTTATCCAACATGCGTTATATTTTGTATTCCTATGGTCGCATTATTACAGAACAAACGTAGATAAATGCATTTGTAGCCACATATAGATTAGTATCCGATTTTCTTGATGCAAAATTATGTGGTGTGATGTGTATTTGACGAATTAGTGTGTACCACTGTTGAAAAAGGTAGAAGGTTGCGGACCACTGCGCTACTCCATTACACCTTATTAAGTTCCATTATGATTTTTTCTCCCATCTGTTACTAGGTCTCAGGGTGGTCTCCCTCAATCGTAATTTATGTTCTATCTAACTAAAATTCTAACACATTTTTCGTGTTCTCTCTCTTATTTCCAAGTCTTTTCCTGAGAACTTTGTTCTGAAACATCTAGAATTTATGGTTTCCCTTTCAGGGCGAGCGACCAATTTTCATGCCCACGCAAAAAAAACAAAAAACATGCAGATTTACATCCGTATACTTACCTCCCGATATAAATAGACAGCTCGACGCAAGACACCCTGTGTAGCGTCTTCTTGCGAGAAAGAACTGGTTACTCCGGTCCTATTCACGACGGAAAGAAAACCGGACTTAACCAATTACCCAAACACGGTCCAGATCTGACGACCGCATCGACGCGAATGCCAGTTTCTGCTACTGTAACATTTATGAGTAATCAAGGAAAGGTGAGTGGGAGGAGGGGGGGAAGGATACCTCCGAGGAGAGTGGCAATAAGCGGACGGAGAGGTAAGGTTTTCCTTGCTTAAGTCTTGGGGGACTTAATCGTATTATTGCGAGAATAGAATCCAGTTTTACCATTCCCACAGAGAAAGACTGCAGGGTAGAAATCCATACGATTCGTGGATTCTCAATTTGCTTCTAGATAATAAAATTAACACAATTCTGTGCACAAAGAACTTTCATTTGTGACATTTTAGCATAACAAAAAGGCTGTTTGCATTTCCTGCTAGTGTCCTCTCAACACCTTTTGTCAACTTACAACGTGAAGATTTCTGTCTTCTGGGTTGTTGCGCTGTGTAGTCTGGTCGATGTTTACCAACGTTTCGGAGGTCATACTGCCTCCATCATCAGGGCGGTGAGTATGAAGATTTCTGTCTTCTGGGTTGTTGCGCTGTGTAGTCTGGTCGATGTTTACCAACGTTTCAGAGGTCATACTGCCTCCATCTTCAGGGCGACACAGCGGTGAGTATGAAGATTTCTGTCTTCTGGGTTGTTGCGCTGTGTAGTCTGGTCGATGTTAACTACACTACACTAGAGCGCAACAACCCAGAAGACAGAAATCTTCATACTCACCGCTGTGAAAACCTCAAATCTTACAACGTTCAAGTTCAATGTTTGAAACTGTGACATACTTCTGACAGTTGAAGAACGGCGTAAGGGACGGGTTGTCATATGGGAAGAAATGGTGAGGAACTTACTGCATTGCAGCAAGGCGAATGGTTGGTTACGTGGCGATAATCGAAACTAGCGACTGCATCATTCCATTTATTAGAAACGGACATCAGCGTTATCTCTTAGATAACTCCAGGCCTTCTTCGGGATATATCTGGGATCTCTTCATCTAAACAAATATCTTAGGCAATTTTTTATAATTATTCCATCCACCCATGTATAAATATATACCAGGTGATTCAAAAAGGACTTTACAACTTTGAAAGTGTATAGAAATTTATTCAGAAGGCTTACAGAATCGGTTAAGGTGTCATTTTGTAGCAAAATAAATCACGTTTGACTTACATTGTGCTGTAGTACCTAATTCCGTCACCGCGAGCGCAAGCGGCAGTGCATTTGAAAATGGCTCGAAAATTTTCTCATACCACAGTTAGACGAAGATGACCAAAAAGGACGCATTCACTTCCAGCAAGACGGCGCACCACCTCCGGGATTTCCTCAATAACCGTTTCCCAGGTCGGTGGATTGGTCGAACAAGGTCGATATCATGGCCACCTCGTTCTCCAGATTTGACACCTCTCGATTTTTTCTTATGGGGTGTCATTAAAGATCGTGTGTATGTTCCACCCTTACCTGCCAATCTCACTGAGCTCAAAGCTCGAATCACCGCCGCAGTTGCAAAAGTGACACCGGATATGCTGGATCGTGTTTGGCAAGAAATTGATTTCAGGTGGGATGTCTGCAGTATCACCAATGGCAATCATATCGAACCAAAATGACTATTTGGGGTAAAACGTGATTTGGTTTGATACAAAATGACACCTCAACCGATTCTGTTAACCTTCTGAATAAATTTCTATACACTTTCAAAGTTGTAAAGTCCTTTTTGAATCATCCTGTATATTAAAACATTATTATTGTTGCAAAGTTAATACGATACAATATAAAATAATAAACCTAACGGAACAGAGTCGCAAGTTTGGTCAACAAGATTCCTGCATTTAATGGAACTTAGAAGTTCATTGCCACTAGTACCTACCTCGAGCCTGGTGAATCCAGTACACACCGTACAGCCTAACTCTTTAAAAAGCCTTATTATTCTTCAATCATCGGGTGGGTCTTCCCTTTACGATTGTAGTTCAAAACTTACTAATGCATTTCGCATCTTTGCAGTGCTTGTTAAATTTCTACACATCAAATTCTTGACACTTACGCCATTTACAGCATCCAGACGACTAAATATTGTGGAAACATGAAACGAAAGGAAATCTTTCTGCAGAAAGTCTCAGTAGAGAGAAGTCGAATTTCCATCCGAATGAGTATCACGGTCGAATGAGTAGCAAGCAGGTGGAACTCTGGGATGGAACCTTTTTTGAAATTTACAGCCGACCTTTTCAGACATTTCACCAAGCATCAGTAACCATGACAACCTTCATTGCTCGGTTGTTCCCACCAAGTTTTATTTGCGCAAAGAACCGCTTGGATTCCCTTACGAACATTTTGACCTCGCTTTTCAAATTAACAAGGTTCAATAGAAACAAGTACCAAGCCACCAAATTCAAATTTTTGGACTGTCTCAATCGCCATTTTGATTCCTCAAACCACTGCGTTTCGGGAGATGGCTCTTTCCCCGTTCTCAGGAGACAGTTGGGCCCGTTAGAAGCATCTAATCTCGATCTGTGGACCACAGCCACAGGTCACAGATCGAGTTTAGCAAAACCGCTAAGTTGAAATCGTTTTCCCCATAAACTAAATGTTAAGAATAGGAGTGACGTTCCTGAGAAAATATTTTTTAACGACAATCCTTTGCTGTAGCATCGTATCAGTCACGAAGCTAATATAAGTGACGCAAGATCTACTTAATAGATTTACAATATTAATTGCATAAGGATGTGATGGTGAGAGTGGTTTACATTAAAATATTTGAAATATTTATTGATATCTCTATACAGAGTCTCTGCCCGCCTAAAACCACGTTTTTGTGTACAATATCTAAAATATAGTTATCTACACCAGCGCTATTTCCTACTATACAAATTCTATCTTATCACTATCGATTGTAGGCTTAATTTTCTTTTAGCTATTATAATAAATTACCTGATATTTAACATAATGACTTACAGCCGTAATGAAAAAATAGATCCGGCCCTTTGGCTGCTCATGTCTGCTTTAAAGTGTAACAATCATTGAGCCATTGTGGAATCTCTCATTTCAGAACCTGACCTTGTAAAAACAAAGAATCATTTCACTAGTCAATGGCATCACCCCCTTACTAGATTTTAAACACTAAAGTAGTCGTCACAAAATACCATACTTCAAAGCCACGGAGGACTTCAAAACTTCCCCTCCCCTCAACGCGCGTTTCTGTGTCTCCAGTAGCGCGCATTGCTGGTTTTGTTACGATGTTAGTTCTGAAACATCTTCATTTGGCCTGGGCTCCGCTGTTTGTGTTGCAAAGTCGTACGATTTTGATGTGACCTTGAAACTTACAATTTGGTGATGACCGCTGTAGACGAGTGAAACACGTCCAGGACAGAGCGACACGTCACTGCCACACCTCATATGTGGCGACACATATCACGATGTGTCTTCACGGTACCTTTATTAATTTCAGCAGAGCATAAAACACATGTATCAATCACTTATTTAGGCAGATTTGAGTCGCAAAACTTATATGTTCGCTGATATTAATATGCATGCGAGCAATTTCTAAAGCTTCTATTAATTTCACCGTAATATGTATATTTTCGTGACCTAAAAACCTTAATCCCTGCCTGAAAATCTTTCTTTTCAGCTTTTCACAAGCTGAGAACAGCGATCGTTTGTGATATGATTAACAGGAATACAAATAATCAATCAGGATGCTAGCCCGGATGATAGAAGAATAAAAAACCTTTGACACGTGCGTCCAATTCTACCGTTATTCATGGCGCAACATCTCAGAAGACAGTCATCCTCATAATTGCCGTCGTGAGAATCCAACT